GAATGCCTCCAGAAAGGAAGGCTAAGCAACTGTTCTTTGCAAATCCGACTGGCAAAAGGCCCAGGGGACGGCCAAGATTAACCTGGTGCAAACATAGGGAAGGAATCTGTTCCAGATCCAGTTGACTTCTACAGAAGGTCAGACTCTGGCAGAGGATCGGGGACGTTGAAAGCTCTGTCTGACGCGTCTGCTTCTGTGACCGGAAAGGAGACGCAGTCATGGAAAATGAAGATGAAGATGTATTTGATGATTTTTGCAATTATAGTTTCACCGACTGAACTTTGGCAAGCAATGACAAGCAATTCAACTAAAACTGACTAGAATTTAAATCCAGAGTTCGTCGGACCGGCAGAGAGGTGAGATTGTGCCGGTAATAAAGGCGGCAGACTGCTACTAAAAAACCTGAATCGAATGAACGGCAGGGTCGATGGACGAATGAATGAATGAGTAAACGCATGAATTCTTTGTTTCGCTATTACATGCATCATGTTAAAAAAAGGTTGGGGTTTTGTAAAACGAAAAGCAAAACTTTGCAACAACTGAAACAAATATTTCTCTTATTTTTCAATAATGTCTGTTCCCCTCATAAGCCCTAACAAAAATAAACGTGTCACAGTACATACCATAAACTGAAGTACTACCACTTTCTTATTTTACTCAAACTGATTCAAATAAAAGAATAAAACATATGACAAGACCTACCAACCATCAGTTCGCATTGTCCCGCTAATCTATCGTTTCATGACTAAAGATTCACAATCATAACTAAGGTGAGCGTAACTCGACATACAGCACACTGCTCTTTGTCTCTGTACCTGAGGCTGACAGCCTAACAGACAATAAAGTGAGATAGTAAGCCGATAATAAATCCAAGCGGCATGAAGTTAAAGTAACAGCAAGATTTGATACCTGGATCCTGGCGTACAGCACGATCTCTTTCTCATAACATCGGTAGAGAGGTTTGCAGCGCGGCAAACCGTCGCCAAGGGCACTGATCGGTCGAACGCATCGGTGCAAACGATTCAGATCACCGCGCAGCAGATTCATCAACACCGTTTCGGCGGTGTCGTCCGCATTGTGGCCTGTGGCTAGCTTCGCTAAACGACGACAATGCTGAGTGTGGATAAAATAGATCAAATATATCTTTAAGTCCTTTACGCTTATTTCTCGCTACCAATTTTACAATTTCGCATATGGCGACATAATCCAAATATTGAGTTGTTGACAAGTACTTAAAACTTGAACCTTGTTGGTAGAGGCCATCGGAAATATGCGCTGCCTATTCACATTAAAGGGCACAGAAAGAAAATCACTCCGTGGTGTGAAAGGATGGATTTTTCTGAAAATCTGTGGCAGGCAAGTGATTCCGCATTCTCTAAGTATAAACTTCCGAAGTGTAGAAACAGTTACCCTCCTGGTCCCATTTCAATGGTACTCTAAAAGGAAACCTCGTACTGAATATGAAAGATGACTGTAAATGCCAAGCTCCAACTCACAAATTTTTCTTTTTTTCATCAATCTTGAATCGCTTTGCACTTTTACAGGATGCTTAAGATTTGTGATATTCGCTCAACTCAGCATCTCAATTTTGAAATTAAAAGATGTTTACTTTGTCAAAAAAACATTGCTAATCGATAATCAGTTACCGTTTAACAATCAAAAGAAATTTAACCTCTGCGTTACAGGAAAAATTTTAAAAATTTGTCTGATTTTACGCACATGAAAATAATCGTACACTGATGGGACCAGGATTCGGCAGCAGTTTCCAGCCAAGTGATCGACATAACATATGTGGTGCACTGCATCGACCCTTGAGTACAATTTTCAATAGTCTGGTCCGATGCTGCGTCCATTCATATAAGATTGGACCAGATTTCGGCTGGAGTCTCCGATTATCCTCAGCCACGTGATAAACTCACGGATTCCTCTACTTTATAGGTAAAGCTGAACAGTTCTAACGACGCATCAATAAGAGTTCTAATTAACAGACTTGATTTTTGTAATCTCTTGCCGCGCATTTGTCGTTTTCGACTCGTACGCATGAAATTGCCTCTAGTTTTCCTTAGTCGCCTCGAAATCGCCTTTAGCTTGGACGTCTGAGCTGTAGGATGATTTAATTTTTATAAAATTTCTAGCCCATGTCCATGATAATCGGTCTGGATCGACAAGCCTTCTTGTTGGCATGGATCAAATATCAATGAAATCCGAGTATTATCCTTTAGCAACATTATGACGGATCGACCCGGAAATTCAATTTCAAATTTGTTCAACGTCTAGTGGGTCGCAACAGCTCATTTGCTGCCACATTTTTGCTCAGCAACAACGACCAGCAGCGCCCGGGATGTCTGACCATAGTATGATAAACTTCAGTCCAACGTCGATCCAGGACACCACATAGGTTGCGTGAACCACTTGGATGTATATGGCTGAAAACTCGCGTCAAGTCCTGGTTTCAGCTGTAAAAGACTGTGTCCGTATCAAGCAAATTTTCGACCTTTACCATTTCGACCTCCGTTAGGTCTGGCGTGTGTTATGCTGGCCATCGAAGTTTCGTCACCCGTGTTCGAATATCATTGTTGCGGCTGCCAAGAGGTGCTGGTTGGTTGTTCACAATTAATACGTTGCAGCATCCATTGCGAGAGCGGTCTGCCGTTCAGCATTCTTATGGCAGCCTTCTTGGTCACTAGTTGAATAAATGACGATGGCGACCCCTACCTCTCATCGCACAGTCGTTGCTCTAAAGCACGCTGATGGAGCGACCACTCGACACAAATGAATGCTAAACAGTGAACGGAGTTTATCGAAAAGCTCAAAACATGGGTCAGTAAATTCTAGGATCGCCGACAGGCAATCGACTACCAGAATGAATGAACTGGTTGCAGCAACTATCAGTGGGAAATTTTTAGCGGCTAATACGACGAAAACATCTGAAAATATCAGAAACATTGTTTACTTATGCAGAACGCAAACAATTTGGTCAGTCAGATGACTGACCAGCGCCGATGTTTCCGGATGTCTCACGGTCTTCATAGAATTATTATTGGTTTCGGAAATACACTCTTTTCTTCTTCTAGCTTTCTGGCTCCGAACATAGCAACAACTTCAAAAAAACAATCTCTGAATCTAACCCACCTTTCTGCTTTGAAGAAAGCCCTGTGCGACAAGAGCCAAAACGTAGGTACTGGTCAATCATCCGACTGACCATATTGTCACCGTGATGTATACGTAAACTGTTTCATGCCGTTTTCGGTATTAAAACAAACGCAAGAACGAAAATTCAATCTTCTGACAAGAAGAACAGTTGCATACGCAGTTCTGAACCCAACAGACATCGATACCACAACAACGTATCGCTGCAAGCAATAACCATAAAACTTGTTGACAAAACAACATAAAAGTATACTTGCGTTGCACAAGACGGAACCCCGTTCAAGCGCCTGGCGACGAAACACGCCGCAGTATGTACAGTTGTTTTTTGGCCCGATCCGCGACACCACTTCGTCCATGCTCAGGCCGAACAGTTCCCTGTAAGAAAGCACCTTCAACGGCAACGCGTACCTACAATACAATTTGCTTACAGTCATCAGTACTACGGAATATCATACGCATTGAACAAAAATTTATACGTCTGTGCTACAATTGATGATGTCGTCGTTATCTGAGGTAACGGAGTTTGAGCAGTATAGCAACCCAGATTTATGAGGTTTGAGCATAAGACCTGGTACATCAGATTAATATTACGCAACTTTCACTGCTTCGACAAAGGTCATATTTTTATTTGCAAGCAGGACTGCCTCTAGGAGGTATCCCACCTTTAGCCTTTTCCACATTTTTCACCCACGCGTCTGTGGACAGACCAGTGCCTGGTTCCAAAAAGAGAAAAGTTTTTAAAAGCATAACGCCTAAATTGATAAATGCCATAACTAATGTTAATATACTAAAAGGCAGCGCCTTCCAGCAGGTGTTACAACGTAGAAAAGTTTCACTTCAGTCAATTTCGAGATTTAAACTTAATGAACTGTCTGACAGCACGAAGAAAACACCGCAAATCAGTGTGAGATATGATGAGCAGGTCTGACGCTGAAAGTACACGACGTACTGCAGCGGTAGAAAGGTAAAACATAAGACAATGGATATGGGTGTGAAAACTCGTAATACCAAAGGTCAGTTTACTGCGTCAAATTATCTCATCAAATTTAAATACAGTAATAAGATAAAGTTTACAAACATAAGATATTTTCTTCCGAAACTACATCAAACTATGGTACATAAATATTTCAGCATCATGTTGCCTCCTTGTAGACCCGTCATTTGTACATTAAAAAGATTATCTTTCGTCGCCAGTAAAACCAAAGTCGCACGTAGTTAAAATGGATCAAACAGCAGGAAAGGTGCTCGAAATAGTCTATTACTCTCTGCCACTTTGTCACATATCCGTAAATATGAAAATAACAAATAACACGAAGCTAAAGGGAAAAGAAAACTATGACGACCAAGACGCAACAGCAGATCTGCAACATCAAATCTAACAGCAAACACAGAAAAAGTAGAACGATTAGGAAAAACGGTAAGAACTAGAAGGAATAGAGGAAGAATGAAAAAAAATGAAAAGAAAACGAAGTGGAGGAAGAATATCAGGGCGATGATGATAAGAAAAGAAGCAGGAACAAATGGTGGAAGAAGAGCAGAAAGAACAAAAGAAGAACACGATAGCAAGGAAACGGAAAAAGGAAGAGGATGTGTAAACAACTCCTTTTTGCCTACTGTTTGATGTATACTTCGGCATTTTACTATATTGCTGCTGTTGTTCTTTGATGTTGAAGCACATGAGATGCGCCGCATATTCAAGCAGCATACAAATTTATAAACTACATTTATTCAGAAATATAAACAAAAAACAGGAAAGACGAGATAGTACTAGATGAAAAAGAAATTGCGGAAAAAGAAAAACGGACAACGGGAAGAATAGGTTACAACAAATAACTAATTTTGTGTTATAATGCTGAGTAAGTTACTGGATATATGCAAAAACATTCAACATTGTATTCATATGCAATCCGATAGAGTCATGGCCTGATTAAAAGTCTCTAGACGTATGCGGCGGGACGTTCATTAAGTAAATTCTTAGGCAAGAGGAGACTCTGAAATCTACTCCTTATCAAATTGTGCATTCTTCCTCTTTTATCTTTCACCGATGACTCTCCTATCCTTTTTTCTGAACTGCTCAACACAGATCATCGCGCCTCTGTCAGACCCTCAAATTCATGGCACACTGTATCTGCCTGGATTTTCAAGTTCTCGTCAAAAGACTTGTAATACGCATCCTAAAAAATTGCCTATACTTGGGCCCCGGAATTCCTTCAAACAGCAGCAGCATGCATCGTCCGGTTATGTCGTCACGTGTTCCCTATATCGCGGTAAGAGATTGAGAATAATGAACATCTACTGTCTGACAGAAACGAGACATAATTCAGTTATTCTTGCCTTGGCTGGCATAATCGACCAACGCCCCTTGCTGATAGACTGTGTAAACAGCGACTTAATTTGTCCGCTGTCTAAAGTGCACAGTACATTTCGCCTTTTCAACTGATGATGTTTCGTGTTGAAAGGCATGGTCATGTCCCAGATATTCTAACAGTAAAATATATTCATTCACTTATTTATTTAACTTGAAAAACGGGTTATACAAACTGCGGGGGAGGGGGATCTCATGCAATGTGCTGAAACTTTCAGCGGTACAAGTACAGAACGAGCAACAGTTAGCTGAAATCGTTTCACACACATAGCCCTAAAGAAAACAGACGTGTAGAACAACAACTGGGGGTAGATTTCTTAAGTGTAACTTATGCTATTTCATGTTTATGCATAATTCTTGTAATTCCGTTTACGAAAAGATATTATCAAATAAGAATGAATTCTAATCTGACAGCATTTACCACGTATGATTATTAAATTATGAGATCCGTTAAGAAAGCGCTCTCTAGAAAAGATCTCGGCCGAGTGCTACGTGGCCGGCATGAGGGTGCGAACGCATCTAAAACGAAAAGCCTAG